CCCAGCCACAATTCATTGCTGAGATCTTAAGATAATGCTTCATTTATCCACCAAAGCTAGGAAGGAATCCCAAACTTCACACCTGTCTCCATAGCTTTGTCTCTCCCTTACTTTTATTTTCCTTTTTACAGATGATTTTCACTCATTTTGGCTTAATTGTAACCAGATTTGCGTGTAGTCCTTGCATTTACTTTGTCACTTCCCTGCTACTGTTCTCAGCACTGTCATCACATACTTTCTCTGTGCTGTCCAGCTCTCTGCCCACAGGTATTTCTTTATTCATTGCCACAGCCTTTCCCTGTTTCTGTTTTCTGAGCATTGAAGCCAGTCTTTTCAGTTACTGAAGACACTCAATCTTCATTATTCAAAGATTTTATGCCAGCTGTGCCTACCTCAATCCCAAAAGTTTATTTCTTCAGGTATTCAGGTGGAGTCCACCCTTCAGGTAAAGTCTTCTGTCAGTAAATGCATCCCAATAGTCCAGCATCATAAAGTCTCCTTTATACCACCAGTCCTTACACCCATATTTCCTAAACTCCTGATACTTTTTTCTGGATTAAAGTTGATAGCACACTTTTTTGTTAAGTCTAAAAAGACACATATTTCAAAACATGACGTGCCATTTCCCTGCCAGAAGAAATCACACCAGTGCTGAAGAAGTTGTGTTAAACACAGAAGCACCAAATACATCTTTCTTTAAGTAAATAATTTGTCTTTGTACCGATGGATCTTAACCTCTTTCACTTCAAGGTTTCCCTCCATAACTTGTCTGAATTTCACAACACCCCAGTTGAAAATCACCAAGATAGCTGTAAATACAGAAAAGATATGGAGGGAGTCTTAAGGCTAAAAAAAAAAAAAAATCACTGATCCAGCAGGTGTCACTTAAGGGTGGCAAGGGCAGGACCCCACCCTGCTGTGCCCTGCTCTTTCACCGTATGCCTTCCCCCTCTCTAATCTGTACCGCTGGGGGCAAGGGCAAGACCAAGGGAAGCCCTCCCCCTCCACTGAGGCTGTTTGTTCAGGGTCTTGCATGCCAGTGACCACCCCTACCACCCCTTCTGCCTGTGCCAGGAATGGAGTGGGTTGGAGTAGAGGGGACAAGGTAGGCTGCAAGGTGTGGCTTCCTCTGTGCATCCACCTACCTGCTCACAGCAGAGGGTACCACTGAGAGGAGGAGGGGGGCAGATATTCAACAAAGATTACTGGGAGACTTCATCTTCTCAAGCCTGGTGTTGTCGTCCTCTTTCTTTTCTGTCTGGACTCTTGTACTCTAATTTATCGCAATGTCAGGTACAATAAGGGATTCTCTCTCACTCCCCTCACTTTCCTTTTCAGCCACATAACCTCACTTGCAGTAGACAACACACCTTTTTATTTTCTGGATCCACACACTAAGGGCAAGTAGATGAGAATTCTATAATAATGAAGATCTAATTATATACCTTAACATTTCCATTCTTTTTTAAAATGTAAAGATGTGTTATTATCATGTTTCAGGATAGTGCAATTAACTGCTTTTTAGTATAATTTGTTTTAAAAACTTAATATGCTATTAGATTACAAGTTGTTTACTCACACCAAAGTATTTTTGTTTTCCCTTTTTTACAGATGAACCAGTATGATCACCCAAAACAGTGATTGTCAGTAGGGTGTTGTGGGATCTTTTTAAGGGTGCCACTCATTATTAGCACTGTTAGGTGTGCAAACACCTACACACTACTCGCAAGATAAACACAAAAAATTCAGATAGGAATCCTTAGCATCAAGAACATTTTGACCTGGTGTGGTCTTTCTGACTTCTTTGTAACCTAATATTCACTCTATTATAATTTTTCCACAGTCAACAAAAATAAAAACGACAAAAAACAGAGCAAAAGCTAAGAGCTGGCAATTTCCAAGGTATGCCTTAAATCTAGAAAGATTCAGAACCACCAATTTATAGTTTGCACCCCTGCCATAACAAAAGGCTGAAGAAATCTTGCTCAGTAATTGTTGCGTCATGTCTATACATTCCGGTTAAGCTAGAGCATTACTTTTAGGAGTGCATCCAATAAATCTGAAAATTTCAAATCGTGGAAACCAGGATAGTCCTAACTGCCATGCAGGAGCTTTTAGCAATAGAAGTACAGTAGAGCAAGACTGCTCCACCTTTACCCTTCTTCATCCAAGGTCAAAGTTGGGTCAGTTTAATTCACTCAATCTCTACAAGCTCATACATATGTAATAATTAGAACATGACGGCTCCTGTGTGGTTCTAAGCAACATTTTGTGTCCTTTTGAGGCACTCTGAGTATGTTTGTTTAATGCTTTTAGATTTCTCTGCTCTCTGAGCTCTACTCCTCATGTCAGAAGATGATGACCAAGGAAAGTGTAGGCTCCTTCCTGAATGCAGTGGGCAGTTTGATGAAAGGTCATGCAGAGAAGGCTGAAGCATTTAGTGCCTTTTTAAAAAAAATGTATTTCAGGCTGCACAAATAAGGTCAGCTACTACATGATGAACAGAGCTGGCAGCCAGAAAAGAGGAAATAAACAGCTGAGTAATGAAAGAACAGGTTATGGACTACTTGGACAACCTGGATGTTTTTAAGTCCGTAGAACCAGACAAGATTCATCCTAGAGTAATCAAGGCATTTGCTGAAGTTATTGAAGAGTCACTGGCAATTCTGAGAACTCATGGAGATTGAGTGAGGTCTTGGGCATCTAGAAGAAGGGCAAAGATAGTGCCCATGTTTAAGAAAGGGAAAAGAGGAAATCTAGGAAATGATAGACTGTATGACCTTGAAACCTGGAAAGACAATGAGGCATGTCAAAGAAACAATTTCTAAATGCCTGGAGGAGAAACAAAAGTGACAGGGAACAGCCAGCTACATGGATTTGTCAAAAGCAAGCCACTCCTGGCCAACCCAATTTCCTTTTATGACAAGGTGATGAGATTTTTTTTTGTATTTGGAGCAGGAAATGGAGAAGAGAAATGGACAGGACTCTTCTTCAGCAAAGCTTCTGACACCATCTTCCCCTCTTCACCTCCCCACATTGTTAGGAACCTAATAGTCTAGACTAAACTACTAAAAGGTGGACACAACTGGTTGCAGTCACGTTCAATTCAATTTCAATTCATTAAGGATTCTGGCTAAATGCCACGCTCCTGAAAACAACATAACATGCATATGACCATAATATAAATGAGTTCAAACAAAGTAACCAAACTACAAATATTATACTAAAAATAGTGCCCACCAACATAAAAACTTTAATATATAGTATTAAATCAAAGACATGAATCTATAATATTGTTGTACATAAATCCACAATTAAGAGAATAAAATCAAATCTAATGTTAAAATTTATCACTCGTATCAGTAATAAAGGATATTTAACTCTAATCGCCTTAGCCGATTAGCAAAAACTGCAAGACTGTTTACTAAATTTGGATGTATGCTGTAAAAGCCAGATTAATTTCTCTCCGTTTGAAATATCCACAGAATAATTCTCTATCAATTTCCACAAGAACGGTAATAAATAGTTTTTCCTTGTGTCATTATATAAAAAACATTCTAAAACATAGTGGATAATATCTTCCAAAACTTCTAGACAGACTGAACAACATCTTTTAGCCCTTGGAATGGAAAATCTACAGCCAGAACAGCTGTGGGCATCTGTTTGGTCCCAAGTCTAGTCAAAGAGGATCACCATTTATTATTGAGATCCAACTGTAAATACCTTTCTCCCCCCAATCTGATTTCCAAAGTGTATGTAAAGGGGCAATACGAGTAGCCCTAGCCACTGCAAAAACATTCTGCGTGGCAATATCTCGTATCCTCTGGAAAACTCAAACTTTTTGTATGAGGGAGAAAAATCTTTCATTATCTTTGAGGTAGTATCCCACCCCAGAAAGTGCAAGAGTACAAGAAGGAAAAGCTAACCAGGGTGATTGGAGAGGAGGGGGATTATTAA